ACATTAAATTTTAAGATAGTACATAACTAAATAAATAAGTAAATAAGTTTTGCAATTCTGACAGAGAAAAAGCCTACCTAATTGTTATATTCGGTCCAATACATCCCATTTGAATTGTTCTATCACTAGATGATATGTAACTTCAGACACTTGTGTATATTCAATTAGCTGTCACACTAATTTATGTATAATAGGCACTGAATAAATATTTTTGTTTCAAGGAATGATACTTCCATTGGATATTTCTAAGATCTTAGAACTTTTAAAATTAAAACTCAAGTTTGCAACTTAAATCACACGAATCAGGGCCAATATTTTCTATGTACTTTAAAACATTTTAATTATTAAATTAAGGTTGAGTTAGAAAATTAAAGGTAATTAAATTATTTAATTTAAAAGATGCTATAAATGTTATGGCATTCTGTGCTATTCTTTACTAAAGGATATATGTACTTTAGATTCTATTATTTCCAAGGCATATGGTACGTAATATTATTGCTAAGGCATGAATGTGTTTTTAAAATGTTTTCTTACTAGACATAATGAGGCAGGCCTGTAATCCCAGCTACCCAGGAGGCTGAGGTAAGAGGATGCTTGAGGCCAGGAGTTTGAGGCTGCAGTGCACTATGATGGTACCTGAGAATAGACACTGTACTCTAGCCAGGCCAACACAGTGAGACCTCATCGCTAAAAAAATAAAAATAAATGTATTTTTGAATGAGGATATAATATTTTTACACATTATATTCTGTATTATGTTTTAAGTAAAAGCATCCTTTGTAATAAAATTGAAATAAACTAGTCTGTTAAAAATATCGAAAGTCCAGCCGAGTGTGGCGGCTCATGCTTGTAATCCTAGCACTTTGGGAGGTCGCTGAGTCCAGGACCAGCCTGGGCAACATGGAAAATCCCCGTCTCTACAAAAAAGACAAAATGAGCTAGGCATGGTGGTGGACACCTGTTGTCTTAGCTACTCAGGAGGTTGAGGTGGGAGAATCACATAAGCCTGGGAGGTCAAGGCTGTGGTGAGCCATGACCGTGCCACAGCACTCCAGCCTGGGTGACAGAGTGAGACTCTGTCTCCAAAAAAAAAGAAGCAGCTTTAAAAATTATTTTAATTAAAAAAAAAAAGAAAAAATATACATATATATATATAAACTGTGTTACCTAAATATCCCTAAATGTCTTGGCTTTAGACAAAGCCTGGGAAACTATAGTATCAAGAAATTATAAAACAAATGTTTACTGAATTAGAATGGTCAGTTAGACTTTCACAGTCATTCTCAATCACTCGTTCCTCTGTAACCTTTATATCTATCCCGCCTTCAAGTTCTGTTGATTTCTAAGCAAGTCATTGTCCATTTGTCCAACATATCCATATTGCATAGGCAAAGCTTCAGTGTTGGAAACTGATGGGGCCTGAGAAAGTCAATGATACATATGGAAACACTCAGCATGCTCAGACTCACATGCTGCTACTGTCCACTGTGGTAGGTGATTAATAGCACAGTATTTTGGATGACTTATTATGACTCTTTCCCAGTTCTGATCTTGTCTGCTAACATGCATTCCAGTCAAGAATTCAGCTTCTCTTTAAGTTCATCTAGATGGTGGACTTAGCAAGTATAACCCAGGGAAGAAATGATAAATAATTTAAAAAATCATGTTACTTAAGGGTCTCTCCAGCTGGTACATGGATCAGTGCAAATGAAATTTTCGTGGCCAGTATAAAAGCTTGAGGGTCTTTACATTTAAATCTACTCTTTTAAAAAAGTCAGTGACTTTTTAAAAATAACATGTTCTCTCCTATTTCCTGAAGGAAATATGAAAAAATGTGTCTAAGTAATTTCTGACAACATGACATAAAAAAAGGACAGGAGACTTGGCTCTTTGCTAATAAATCCTTCCTCTCCATTATTGGTTACTCTCTATTTTATGAGCTTTGACTAAGCCACAAATAGTCCAACAGCATAAATCCCTAATTTAGTAGAAGACGCTGATGAGAGCAATGTCTTCTACATTCTACGGGTAATGAAATACCCTTTCAGGTAACATTTTTATGGTGTTTGCATTTTTTTATTTTGACTAATATCCAGTCATCCTGAATGAATTAATTGAGATATGAGAGTAGTAAATGTACAATTATCTGACACACATACCCAGTGAACAAGTATAAAATATTTGCGTTCTGCGCCATTCATCAGATTTATGTTATTTTCCATATCCATTATGATTGTAGGCTCAAATGGCACTGGCCATTAACCTGGTGAAAATGCTAGTCTTCAAACAATTGTGAAGTAATGAAAGTTTTCCGATTTGTCTAGTTTCAACATATTTAAAATGTTATCATTTTTTTAAAGAGATAATTCCTATGACTTCTTAGGGACAAGAATAAATGAATATAACAAATGAATTACTTTTATTAGAGTAACTGGGTTGAGTGAGAACATGCTGTTTCCAGTTCTAGTTAAGTGCTGCCTTCCATCAGGAAGACTTTCCTGAACATTCCTGCCTGGCTAAGGACTTTCCTGTCTTTCATAACCCTTAATCTTTTGTAAACTTTTCCATAATCTTGGTTAATTTTATGGAGATTATTTTTCTAGCTCTTTGGCCTATGTTTAATATCTTTGTATGTTCAGTGCCTAGAAAAGTACTTGCTACACATAGGTACTCAACAAACATTTATTGAACTAACTACAGAGGTAACTTTTATATTTAAAGTCTAGTAAACTAAGTATTATTTGAAGATATATAAAATAAGCATTTTAGAGTCTATAAACTATAAAAACCTTGAAATCATTTTTCTTTTCTTTGCGGCTACTGTATGATTTAATTTTAGAAATGCCATAAGCAGATACCATTTTTGTCTGTAGTGAGCCAGATAGTAAATACTTTGAGATGTCTGAATTTCCAGATAGTCTGGCCAGACAGTCTGTATCACAGCTATTCAACTCTGCTGTTATAGCATAAAGCATCCATAGACAACACATAAATGAATGAGCATGGCTGGATTCCAACAAAATTTTATTTTGGACACTGAATTTGAATTTTCATGTGTCACTTAATTTTTTCTCTCTTTTCTTCTTTTCTTTTCTTTTTTCTTTTCTTTCCTTCTTTCTCTCTTTCTCTTTCCCTACCTCCCTCCCTCCCTTCCTTCCTTCTTCTCTCTTTCTTTCTTCATTGTCTCAGTCTGTCAGCCAGGTTGGAGTGCAGTGGTGTGATCATAACTCACTGCGGCCTCGACCTCCTAAGCTCAAGTGATCCTCTTGGCTCAGCTTATGGGCACATACCACTATGCCTGGCTATTATTATTATTGTAGAGTCGGGTTCTTGCTATGTTGCCCAGTCGGGTCTTGAATTCCTGAGCTCAAGCAATCCTCCTGCCTTAGCCTCCCAAAGTCCTGGGATTATAAGTGTGAGCCGCCGCACCTGGCAACATTTTTTTTCAACCACATAAGAATGTGGTTGATTCCAAACAATTGGCCAACCCCTGCTAGAATTTTCAAAACAAATGGCCAACACCTGCTAGAATTTAATATAATATTAAATTAGAAATCTACTATAGAATTTAATATAGTATTAAATTGTATATTGCTACCATCCTAGTCACTAATAATCTTTCCCCCATACTAGAAATATAAATATTTGTGGCCCATACTATTTATTTGTGAAATAAATTACTTAACGAATATTGGACCCTGCCAGACTTGGGAAAGTTGAGTTTGAGAAGTCAAGAATAGAAGCAGGAGGTTTTTGTAAAAATCTTCATGAGAGGAAATGACTTAAACTCGTAGGAAGAGCAAGTAAAAATTAGAGTTTAGAAGTATTTAAGGCCTTGATAATTGATTGTTTGAGGAGGAATGAAGAATAACTTATATCTTTGGGGTTGTTGTGGATGATGGTACCAGGAAGGAAGATTGGAAATACAGAAGAAGTTTGGGAAAAATACAGGTTTCTATTGGACATTGAGTTTTGGGTGCTCGAGTAATATCTAGATTGACATATCCAGCAGGGGATTTGCATAAATGAACCTAAGGTCTGGTCTAAAGGTGTGAATGCGTTATTCGCATACAGGGAGTTGCTGAAACCAAGAGATGGGGGTAAATCTGGTTGCTCAGGAACAATATAACAAGCCAGTTAAGCCTTGAGATAAATGTGTTACATAAAAGCCAACATTTAAAGGTAGGAGAAGAAAGGAGCTTATGAGCAAGAAGGAAGACATTGCCAGAGAAGGGAGGACAGCCAGCAGAATGGAGAGTTTGCGTGCTACTAAAATAGACACAGGTATCAAATGCCATAGAGAAATACAATAAAATGCCTATTTGGCAGTAAGAAGGTGGAATTTTTGAAAAGTGCAATCAGGAGGCGCAAGTTAGACATGCAGAGGTTGAACTACACATTGAGAATATAAAATGAAAACTACACTTTAGAGAAATTTCGATTCAAAGGGAGAATTACACTGAAGATTGACAGCTGTGAGAAGGTCAGTTCTTTGTTTTTGTCTGGGAGAGGGCAGGAGGAGAAGGGGTTAAGAACACTGACAGGGCTTGAAGAGAAAGGAGACTTTCTTTTCACTAAAACTGAAAGAAAAATGATAGGAATGAGTGAGAATAGAATGCCTTGATTTTATGTATGCAGTAGTAAATATAATAATCTCTTGAAGATTGGGCAGAGGAAAGGGTTAAAAAGAGCATTGAAGGATGGTGCAAAGGTTTGGTATGTTGAGGGAAATGAGAGAGTAGATTGATCAAAGACAAGAAAATGTTTGAATAAAAGTGGTGTTGCAGTCTGTGTCAGTCCATTCTCACACTGCTAATAAAGACATACCCAAGACTGCATTAATTTATAAATGAAAGAGGTTTAATGGACTCACAGTTCCACATGGCTGCGGAGGCCTCACAATCGTGGCAGAAGGCAAGGAGGAGCAAAGTCCCATCTTACATGGTGCAGGCAAGGGAAGTTGTTCCCGGGAACTTCCATTCATAAAACGTCAGATCTCACTCTGTGCCCATGCAGCCAACTTGCAACATGGCCTGGCAGAAAGACAAGAAGCCCAAGAAGTCCACCTGGAAGTTTAATTTGGACCTTACTTATCCAGTAGAAGATGGAATTTTTGATTCTGGAAATTTTGAGCAATTTCTACGGGAGAAGGTTAAAGTTAATGGCAAAACTGGAAATCTCGGGAATGTTGTTCACGTTGAAGGCTTCAAGAATAATATCACTGTTGTTTCTGAGAAACAGTTCTCTAAAAGGTATTTGAAATACCTTACCAAGAAATACCTTAAGAAGAACAATCTTTGTGATTGGCTTCAGGTGGTTGCATCTGACAAGGAGACTTAGGAACTTCATTACTTCCAGATTAGTCAAGATGAAGATGAATCAGAGTTGGAGAGCTAAGCAAAGGCTTCCCTTACAGGGCTTTGCTTATTAATAAAATAAATGAAGTATATATGAGAAATACCAAGAAATTGGCTTTTAGTTTATCAGTGAATAAAAAATACTGCACTTTTAAAACAAAACAAAAAAAACCCCAAAAACATCAGATCTCGTGAGACTTATGCACTACCACAAGAACAGTATGGGAGAAACCGCCCCCACGATTCAGTTATCTCCCCCTGGCCCAGTCCTTGACACATGGGGATTATTACAATTTAAGGTGAGCTTTAGGTGGGGACACAGCCAAACCATATCACAGTCCCAGCAGAGATCTGAAATTATACACTTGCCAGAATTGTGTGACTGCTTGATTTTCCTCTAACATTGTCAAACCACTTAACAGTCGCAGCAGAGATCTGAAGTTATACACTTGCCAGAACTGTGTGATTGCTTGATTTTCCTCTAGCAGGTACCTAAATCCAGAGCTTGGATTTGGGAGGCTTGGTGCAAGAGATTCAAATGTGAAAGGAAATTGAGAGGCTAGTGAGAAAGTAAGTTCATAGTAGTTCCTGTAATCAACCACAGAGTCCAGATTGAGTTTAAAATGAAGAGGCCAAGAAGAATTCCTGGCATTGGAGGTCTCCATGCAGTAGAGTGCAGAGACCGCTGGAAGGCCAAGTGGTTATGGTTAGAGAATTTAAGACTTCCAGGATTATGGATCTGATAAAAACAAATGCCAAAAAATTCCAAGAAGTGGCCATAAAAATGTGTAGCTAAAAAGGAGTCAAGGTGAAGGTTAAGTGATAGTGTTGGATGAATCAGCCTGTGGAATGAGGGAGAGTGATTTGGAGGTAAATTGAAGCAAGAGTGATGAGTGTTGGTATGGGATGTATAGCATGGAAGAAGCTTGAAAAAGGATGGGCTCAGACATATATCCATAAGGATAAACTGAAGAGGCTCTATTACTATAGGCTTTATAAATCAGTAACAAATATTCATTGAAAAGGACTGAATCTAGGCCAGGTGTGGTAGCTCATGCCTGTAATCCCCATATGTAGGGAGGCCAAGATGGGCAGATGACTTGAGTCTACGAGTTAGAGGCCAGCCTGGGTGATATGATGAAATGCCCTCTCTACAAAAAACACAAAAATTAGCCTGGCATGGTGGCACATGCCTATAGTCCCAGCTACCTGGGGCTGAGGTAGGAGGATCCCTTGAGTATGCGAGGCAGAGGTTGCAGTGAGCTGAGGTTGTGCCACTACACTCCAGCCTGGGCGACAGAGCAAGACACCATCTCAAACAAAAAACCAAAAAGAACAAATAAGAACTTAATATCGTTGGGGGCACATCTCTAAGAGCACAGAGACTTTTGTCCCTCAAAATTTGTTTTGAAAAAGGTTTGGCTGAGCACAAAGTTGCTTGAAAGATAAATGATCATAGAAATCTTGACTCAGTTGTGCGTAAGAATTCTCTGCTTCTCAAACTTGAAAATGCATGTGTATTACCCAGGGAATCTTGTAAAAATGCAAATTCTAATTCAATAGAATTAGAGGGGCCTGAGATTCTGCATTTCTTACAAACTCCCAGACACCTATTTGCTGTTCTGGAAATCACACTTGAGTAGTATGGCCCTAGAAATCCTCTAGCTTCTTCCTTACCTTTGATACTTTCTTAAAACAATTATGCCTAGGCATGTAGATAGTGGAATCTAGTCAATTCTAATTCATTCAGAAGTGCAAGGATTATTTTGGATTACAGTTGGATATATTCCACGTGAATAGCCTAATGATGGTCATGGCATAACACAATAACCACCAGTGAGAAAACAAAGGTTTTTTTTAGATTGGCAAATATGCATAAAGGAAACATTTATATATGTTTCCATGAATGTTAAATATGATCAATCTTGTCAACAAATAACAAATATGAAGCTGGAAAACCAGTTAATAGAATAATAGAAGAAGCAGCTTTTGTTATAGCAAAAGCCAGCAATGTCCACGTTCATTCAGAAACTCACCATTTTATTTAAGAATAATACAAGTACGCTCAGTACACATATGTGGACAAATCCTGGAACAAGTTGTCATAGGGTTAAAACTGAGTATGTGGGCAGCTAAAGTACATGCCACTTTTGAGAATAAAAATAGCGTGTACCTTATTAAAAGCCGCCTGACAGGGTCAGCAGCCTAGTCACAGAATACCTACCAAGAACAATTTCAATTTTAATAGGTTTTACTATGTATTTCATAAGCATGCCCACTGAAATTGAGTCATCAAAGCCTCCCAGTTCCTCCAAGACAGATTTTAGCCTGAGAGCTTGGAGTAATTATCCCACTGGATGTTAGCCTGTGTAGCTATTTCAGCCTCGTTCATCATTTCAAACAGCTACATACTCTGCCTGCTAATTTCTTCCAATGGATTAGCTGCTCTCACTTGTCTATCTTTTTTTATTTCTGGGGGGTGAAATATTGCCTTCTTCCTATGTTTTAATAAGCTGAGCAGGCATGCACCACTGCACAGCTTCTGACTCCTATTTCTTTCAGCTCAAAGAATGATCTTCTTGGGGAAAAGCTGGGTATAAATGTGAAGGTGAAAACTTGGCCATTACTACCTGCAGCCTGAAACCAGCTGCATTTGAATAAGGGCTGAAAACACAGTTCTGAGCTGGTCTGCATTTATCTGTTTATACTACATTCTAAGCTGCTCTTCCTCCACTGTATGACTTTTCCTCCTCTTCTTTTGAACTCTTATCTTTATTTTGTCCCCCACTTCTGTCTTTCACCTCTGCTCTGCCTCTGTGCCTCCTATTAGAAAACCACAATACACAGAATTATTCATTGCAGGATATAACTTCCTCAGTTCTTCACAATAATGACCCTGTTTGAGCCTTTTAATTCAGAGGTTCAGTGATTTCTTTATTATCTGACCTCCCAGTGAGAACACAGAACTTCATGTGCTGGAATATCATCCCTTCTTAGGTAGATTGTAAAAAAGCAGGGAACCTGACGACAAACAAAACAAAATTTTCACCCCATCTCTGCCGCTTACTTGGAAGCTTGGTGACTTTGGGTAAGTTTTACACCATTTCTGAGCTTCAGTTTTCTCATCTATATAATAGGAACAAATACTTTTTAAAAAAAATTATAGGGTTATAGTGAGAAATTAACCGGTGAGATTGTGTGTGCCTGTCGTACAGTAGGCACCTCAGCACATCAAGCTTACATTTCTTTGATCTTAGTGATTTAATAAATGGTCTTTTGACTCCCTCACACTTGCTGTTAATGTCGATTAGCTGTTAAAGCTCTGGCAGTTTTGCAGTGGATCTTTAAAAAAACCAGATGAAATGACAGCAGAAGTTGAGGGAGGCTTGTTCACTCAATTCACAAGTCTAGCCTACCTAACATTCAAAGCCATCTTTTCTGAAAACGTGTCTGAAGTTCTACAGCATCAGTCTAGGTGACTCCACTCAACCCTTTCCCATGACCCCATCTGAGTATCTTGACACTGGGTTGAAAGACACATATTTCCACTGAATTGAAAATAGAAAACTGACCCTATAACCCAAGGTAAAGAGGACGAGATAACAGCAAGTAGACTGCTTCTTCAGATAAAATCTTCAAATGGATCCACAGAAAGGAAATGGGGGCTAAATTTTCTAAAAGAAAATTTAGAAAAGACCAGTGCCCTGAGAGCTGCCAATTTAAGGAAAAGCCTCTTTTACTTTTGGTTCCAGAACTATAATGTATTTGCTGATAAATTGGAGATGGATAATTTTTATCCAGCTCAGGAGGAAGTGTGAAAAGGAGTAGTTGGCTTTTCTTAGAGAGAGGTGCAGGTCTCAAGTCACTCTCAAGAGATTTTTTTTGGTAATATGATATCATCTGGTATTATATTAATAAAACCACTGCCTGGGATCAGAAACTTGGAATTGGTAAAAGTTTCTTTCCTTCAGAAACATAAAGCATCCATATTCTTCATTTACACATAAATTATGTAAGTGGATAAAATCCTCGTTAATAGAGAATGACCTTGATTTAGGACACATTGATATTATGGGTGATGTTCTTTGAATTTTTGCAATTTTTTGACATTAGTTATGGTTCAGTGCCAGTATCAAGATCATTAGTATTGAGTCAAAGACTTTTGTATTCACAAGGTAGTAATTAAAATGACGTTTCCCCCATTTATGTATGTTTCATCCAATGAGATTTTACATGTATGTATATTTCATCTTCAATTTTTCATTTTTTGTGGCCTCTTATTTCCTTCCCCCCACTTTTTTTTTGGCAATGGGTGAAGTGAAATATATAGATTTTGATACTGGCAAAGAAAGGGCATAACCCAAAGACCTCTCTGGAGCAAGTTACCATTTCCATGGATGCTTTGTTCATTTTATTGAGGGAAATTTCCACAGTCATGTTGCTTTATTTCTCCCTTGTCCCATCGCGATAGAATGAACAATTTCAAAACAGTTTTATTATCTTAAGTGAAGAAATAAAGCTACGTATCAGACAAAATCTCCTTTCCAAAAGGTGGTAGCTTTATTTTATATTTTATTTTAAGGTAGAGTATTGCTGTGTCTCCCAGGCTGGAGTGTAGTGGTGCGATCTCTGCTCACTGCAACCTCCACCTCCTGGATTCAAGCGATTCTCCTGCCTCAGCCTTCAGAGTAGCTAGGATTCCTATAGTGCCTGAATTCTATTGCACAGAAAAATGGTTCTTAAATGCATACATCTTTACTGTGATCATTTGATAACATGCATGAGAACCTATTATAGAATAAAACTATCTCATAAGATACTGAATCTGTGTCTCATCATGCTTACGTCATATATATGAGGTATTGTTATAAAAGATTGAGAATTTTAAAGCGAATTTACCTTGACATATATAACCAAATGTGTGTCATCGTTAAAAATGGTCTCTATCTCTGAGGATACCTACAAAAGGCAAGGTCCACAGACATGTGGAACATCACCATCCTTGGCACAAGAGGACAAATGAACTTAGGGAAGATGTTTCTAATGCATACGTCCTGAAATGTAAAGTAAATGAGTCCATTAACTCAACTCCTTATAAAATCAAAATGGAAACGCATGAAACTTCCCTGGCAAACACTGACACTCATGCTTAA